TGAACTGTTATACCAATTATAGTTTTTGGATCTTTTCTAACACTGATTCAACAATAATAGGAATAATATTAGTACGTAATTCATAGGAATTACGTACTAATTTTGTACTGTCCAAAAATACCATCCGACCGCCCCATTTTGATCCTAGTACTCATTTTTCACTCTTCAAATAATTTTTGTACAATATAGTGTACATGACGTTTTAGGCAATAATTTTATCGCTTCATTAGAGAAAAATAGAATCTCAAAATATTATTGATGAAAAAAAAAATAATTTGAATTATCAATAACAAAATGTCATACTCCAGTGTTGATAAATAAGTTTCCAACAAAGTGACATTATATTTAACAATGAAATGACAGATTGGTGGAATAAAGGGACTAGTTTATATATTGGAATCATGGTTTAATCGTTTGTGCCTCTTCCCTAGGATAATGAACAAGTAAAGTCGTTCAAATAATAGCTCTTCAGTAGGCATTTTATAGCATCGAACTTATCTTTTCATCGTACTCGAATTAAGAAATGCTTTCATTGCAAAAGTCTTATCCTATTCCACGTGTCTACTAGAGTGGCCGCGAAAACAACTTTCATGAAATTCAACTTGATTCACCACCTGGAATTGATTCATAAAAGTTGTTTTCGCGGTCAATCTAGTGACTACCGCGTAGCCATTATCATATAACAGAAAAAAACACAGATGACAACTATAGTGTACAAAAATTATTTGAAGAGTGAAAAATTAGTGCTAGGATCAAAATGGGGCGGTCGGATGGTATTTTTGGACAGTACAAAATTAGTACATAATTATGGACGTTAGTACAAAAAAAAATTCGATGCAGTACAAAATATATGTATAATATACATGACGTACACTATACTGTACAAAAATTATTAGAGGAAAAAATTCTAGAGTTTGTGACGGAAGTTCTTGTGCGCCATTCACAAATTTACATGCTGCGAGAGACAAAAATCATCAGCAAGCAACCGATATGGTTTAACAAGCCACTAATGAAAACAGCAAAGCTCATCAGATTAAAAATAAGCTCAACACAATTGAATCAGTAGAATATTTCAAACATTTAAGAAGAGAATATAAGGGCAGTGCACGGTCAGCACTCAAGGATTATAGAATTAAGATGGAGAATCTAATAGACGATGATCCAAAGAAATTTTTCAGAAATATGAATTCAATGGAAAATCGGTGAAACTATAGAGGAGTAACAATTGAAGCGAATTTGGCTAAGGTCTTATTATTCATAAACAACTGAAATTGTCGATAATGCCATTACTGTCCAAAACCCAGCATGGATTTCTTCCAAATCGAAATATCGAAACCAATCTAAAGGAGTTATCATTGCACGCGACCAAACCGTTTGAAGAAAAAAAGCAATTAGACATTTTTTATGCTGATATCCAGAAGGCGTTTGATGTGGTAAATCAATCACTGTTAATTAGGAAAATGGCACGATTTCCTATTAGCAATGATTCGCTTCGTTGGTTTATTTCCTACTTCTCAAATCGTAAATAATATGTGAGACTAAAGGGATCAGTTTCTGAATCATTCGCAGTACCGTCGTCAGTTTGTCAGGGAACCATTTCGGGACCACTATTATTTATGATCTCCTTTTGGGTAAAATAGTGTCTAGTTCACTAAGAAATAAAATTCTATACACAAGACTGCAATATGACGAAAACCAACGAAATTTAAGAAGTACAGAACTGATTAGAGTTAGGGCATTTTCATCGGATTATGCACATAATCAGCCGTTTTACGTAGCTTGTAGAAACTTTAACTTGATAAGAGAAACATTTTTAGAATCGGCATCAAGACACATCTTTAGAAACAATATTGTCTAATTGGAAAATGTGATATTTGATCGGCGAAAAATTTAACTTTTAACTTTTATGTGTTATATAGAATATAGAAATTAAAACAGTGAACACAATCGATATCTGCTACTCCGAAGTCGAAAAGGCTGGAAGCTGGGTATACGATCGGGTGGTGTTTCATTGTGAATGGTATTGTATAAATTTTGTGAAAAATTCAGTCTGTGATCAGACGGTGAATAAATAATAATAATAATAATAATATTTTTGATTTTTTTCGATGATTCCGACAACAAAAATGGATCAGTCTCGTCATTAAACTTTGCCGATGACAAGAAATTACTTAGAATAATCAGGAAAGAGGACGATGCATTGGATCTTCAAAATTCAATTGATGATTTCATGAGGTGGTGTGATCAGAATGGGTTTCAGGTGAACATTACAAAGTGTAAATTATTGACATTGACACATATGAGAAATCCCAAATAGTTCATAATTATTTCATCAATGGGAAAATAGTTGAAAGAGTCTCTGAAATGAGAGACTTGGGTGTGTTGATTGATTCTAAGCTCAGTTTCTCTAAACATATTGAACTGATGAAAAATAAATCAACGTCAATGTTGGCATTTGTTAAGAGAACTTGTAGACGGAAATTCGACATAAAATGTGCCAAACTACTATATAGCTCCTTAGTACGGTCTAATTTAGAGTTTGCCAGTAACATTTAGCTACCATATCACAATAGCTACAGGATTTCGGTTGAAAGTGTGCAGCAACAAGCAGTTATCTATCTAAATGGTGATTATTTGAACAGAGAAGAAAACAACTATCAACTAGCGCCGTATGTTGACCTTTGCAAGGAGTTGGAACTAGTGACATTAGTTCGTCGTCGTTTGAACGCAGCAATTCTGTTTCTGCATAAAATTATTTCCGGAAAATACAATGATCCAATGATTCGTAATCAAATTCAGATAAACACTGGAAGAAGAACCATCAGGAATCCTGAATTCATTAAAGTCCAATTTTATAGCACGGATTATGGACTAAATTCACCATTTAACATTGCCTGCCGAGCTTTTAATCATGCCTCGATGTTACGCAATTTATTAAAGTTAAACGTTCACAAAACAAAAAATTCGGAATCCACACTACAACGACTTGTGCAAAAGAATTGAGTCAATACAAAAGCAATTTTTATTGTGCGCACTGAGGAGAATCGACTGGAACGATTCTAGACTGCCAAAATACGAACACAAATTACTTTTTCTGCAAATGATTACTCTTGAGGAGAGACGCATGATGGCGCAAGTGTCTTTTATTTTCAAAATCATTCACCGAGATCTAAAGTCAACTCATGTTTCAAACAGTATAAAATATTATAATTCAGCACATAATACCTGAGCAACACCACTATATGATTTACCAATCAGGAGAACTGATTACACAAAATATGAATCAATAAATTATATGCTTACATCATTCAACGATTTATATACCAAAAAAATGCCGAACAGTGATAAAAATTTAATTGATTTAGAGGTAAATTCACTATCAACAGTCAAACTGAGAATAGAAAATT